TTGTTTTGGGGTGTCATTGAACTTAATTTTGTTTTTCTTTTGCTTTACCACACCCCCGTCGATTTTCCATTCCACACCCCTGGCCAGCGCTTTATATTTTTATTTATTTGTGTACTTTATGCTACCGATATGAGCGACTGCTGAGCACCGAAGGGCCGGCAAGTTGTTGACTTACACCCGGCCCACCCTCTTCTCCACTCTGAATGATGAATTTTCTGTTCGAATGAGAAAAATGGTAAGGAAAACATGGTTTGAAAATAAAAGAAAGCACCGCATAGAAATGTTTCCTTGGGCGCCATGCAATTTGGAAGGAAAGTAATTCCGCAACGCTCCAAAAATCAAATCCATTTATTCATGGAGAATTATTTCCTTTCAAGGAGTAGGTAAAATTGCAATATTAAAAACGCCGAGGAAAAGGGGAAAATTTGAGAGCCCAACACCTAAATAGCAGCAATAACCCTTGGCCCATCCTCAGTTAATATTTAATGTTCAGTTGTCTTGTCTCTCAGTTTATTTTTTTGTTGGGGTTCAAAGTTTCAAGGCCTGAGGTTCTTCTTTGGCATTCATTTAAATACCACCATAAATCATTTATTATTCTTTACAAATTTTTTTTACCAAGAGCAGTCTTCCAGATTATAAAGCCAAAATTACCTATTAAAAAGAAGAAATAAATCTACAATAGGGAACTTTTTTGCTTGCTTGAACCGCTCTCCTTAAAATTTGTGAGTACGTTAGTGTGTGTTTGTCGGTGCCTTTTCAATTTTTAATGGCTGTCAAATGCGGGCATAAACCATTTTGGCATACAAGCAAATAAAATTTGCGCTGCCTAAAAGCACTAACAATCAAACACTCGACAGCAGGAGCTGAAACAATGGAAACAACAGCAGCGACAAGCTAAAGCAATTAGTTTAATGTGATTCTCTTCTGGCCTTCGTATCGTCTTCGCCCGAAGAGATGAAGCCTGGCCAAGTTTTATGTACCACAAATGAAATTATAGTCGGCACACACATACACACAGAGTGCCACAGGCTGTAGCTGCAATTTGCGCGCGGCGAAACGAGAGAGCAAGTGGAAAACTGTCGCTCCAAAAAGCATGCTACAAAAATGTCGCCGTTGCCTCCCCGGTTTTTGTGCCGCAATTCTTATCTTTGAGCTCTCACCTGCTTCAGTTTTAACATCTTTACCTTCCCTGGAACACGCTCAGCTTTTCAATTGCGTTTTCCCCGCGCTTCCCTCGCTTTTCCCGGCGTCGCTGTCATGCACATTAACCAAATAGCTGGCGCCTTGATTTGATTATCGTGTTTGTGTGAGTGCGGAGAGCGGAGAGCGTTGCCGGGTGGTAAGATTGCCGTTTGACAAGCAACTTCCGTACCTTTCCCGGAAACGGCAGATAGAAGAAGAAGCCCAAGAGAAAGTCCTGTCACTTGGGGCGCCCCATTCATTCGGAAAAGTTGTCCATACACTAAATGGACACTTAGGTGCAGGTACTTAAAAGCAAGTCCTTGCCGCACAAAAGAGTGTGGAGTAGGGCGTTTGAAATTAATAGCTTTCAAGAGCGATACCTTTCATCTCGAAATTTAGCGTGAGACTTTATGAACTTATTATTATATGAAAATATTTTTGTGTTTAAATGTTTTTGGGAAAACACGTAATTTTTACTCTGTCGAAACATAAGTGCTAGATGCATAAATTCGGCTCAGATCAACTGGAAGCCTGCAATAGACAAGCCAATAACAAGTACTCCCTGGTCCGCAGCATATATCAACATTTAACCTTTGGATGTGAACTGGCAAAGGAAAGCATATTTTGACTGGCGTTTTGATTTATGCAGCTTTCCCAGCCGAATGAGGTTGGGTGGTCGGGCGGCCGGGAAAGTCGGACTGGGGGGCTGTAGCAAAGCGTTTTGTTCTGTTTCCATTGCATACATGATTCATGGGCTCGCTGTATCACTTTCTTTTAGAACGAGAAAAACGCAATGGGGAAAGTCACTTGAAATCTGTGTGTTGGCGCTGTGATTTCCGTTGTGTATCCCCAGAATTGGTCTCCAAGCGCCAGCCAACCCAACCCATGCTAAACCTACCTTTTCCACCTCTTCCACCAACTCTTAGGTACATCTGCAAATTGCCTGTAATAAATTTTTTGCCCGTTTGCCATAAAACACTTAAAACGATTTGCAAAGTCAAAAGAAGGAAAGCAAAGAAGGAAAGCAATGGAAGAGCTGTGAGACGAGAGTAGCATGGAAATGAGGAAAATCGAGCAGCGTCTCCCCCATTTTTCATTTCACTTACGATAACAATTTTCGATATTGACTCAAAATCCATTTTCCACATACACACATTCGAAAATAGTCGGAAGACAAACAGAATAAAAATGCTTAATTACTTCCCCTTTGCCAGCTCGCAATTTCTGATGTACAAACTCAATTTAAAACAGAAAATGGGAGGGAAAACGGCCATATAAATTTACAAATTCAATTCTATTCGGGAAAGCAAGCAATACAAACAAATGCTTTCCTTTATGCTTTAGCTAAGCCACTGAAAACAAAAACCTGTATGTAAATTCAATATAAAGCGATTTTTTTAAAGCACTGCCATGAATTTCTCTCTACTTATTTTGAGCTCCAATTGTTTTCACATTGGGGTGGGACCTTTTTTCTATTTCTATTTTCCGGTGTAAGGTCATGTGTGGTTGGTTGCTTGGCACAGCCCAACTGTGGCTAAAAGTTTTGCCCACACTTCTACTAGGTGCTTTGAATCCATTTCAGTCACAGTTTCAGTTTCAGATTCTGTTTCTGTTTCTGTTTTAGTTTCGGGATTGCTCTTCGGGCTCGACTTAAATTGGTTATGACAAGGCCAAAAGAAATTGCGAAAGTATTAGCTCAGCAGTCACGTGCGTTTTCGCCTCTACGCATTCTCCTCCTGGATATGCTGCCATCTCAGTGTGTCTAAGTGGATTATGCCAAAAACAAGAAAGCACTCGGTTCAGATCGCTCAGCCGACGAAAACAGTGCCGGATGTCTATTTTAAGCTACTCGATAGTACTCAGGTCAAGAGTTCTCTGTCGGCTAATTGAAATTAAAAATGTTTGTGCGCCAAATTAGCTAACCGAAAAACGGCTTCCTGCATAAATAAAGTGCAGTCAAATACAAAAACCAGAAACCCAACAAAAAGAAAAGGTGAAGGAAACTACAAGGGAATTTCGCAACACAATGGCCGGCGACAGCAGCCCAAAAATAGACAAACAAAGCCGGGGAGCCCTGAATGGAATGGACTTCAATGAATGGAGCTTCGTCCGCCGCTCATTGAAAACCCATCATGGGGCTGCGATCCGAAGTCCGAACCTCTGTTCCTGACCTTTTTCGTGCCCGTAATCGGGTTGACCCGCAATGGCAGCGAAACCAAAGCGTCAGACTTTGGAAAATTGTTAATGGTATCTGGTGTATCTGCAGTTGGGCATGACTCAATTGGGAATAGGGCTTGAGAGAAATAACCCTTTAAAATTGGGATAGGAATTTATCGGCGAAAATTAGTTCACAAAATAGGCGTGCTACTACCATTGCCTTTTTTTTTTTTTTTGCCAGAAATGAATGATAATGTTAAAATAAATTCTTTAACATTTCTGTTACATGTTTTTTTCCGTACTTTCAGAATACTGCCAGAACTTTTAATCAAGCCCCAGAATGCAGTCCAAAAAGGTCGGACGCGGGGCAAAGACAATGCCGCTCTAATTGAGCCCGGACCCCTTCGAGGATTCGGAAACTGACCAGGAGTATGGCGTCATTTGTATGCAGCGTGGCCAATTCTGCAACAACTACAGCAACGGAAAGGAGGAGCAGCGGCTAAGCGGGAGCTCTAAGCCGCGGCTAATCCAAGAATCACGCCGAAAGTAACCAGAAAGCGTTCATCAGTGGGTCAGTAGCCCGTAGGTGACATTTGGACCCAAAAATTTGTGAGGATGATGAGCGCCGGAGGAACCTACATCTCCACCGCTAGCGTGGAGGTGCCACAAGCTCTGCAAGATGGCGAGAAGTTCATTCGCTGGGATGATGTGAGTAGTGAGCTGTGTACTTAACCGCCGTTAACTGGGAATATTGATTATTTATTACTTATACATATATCTGTTCCATTTCATTATTCCCTATTCGGTTGCAATTTGGCTTTGGCAAAGATTTTAGGCTTGCTCCCAAGTATTGTTGTACCCGTTGCTCGTAGAGTAAAAAATGTCTCAAGGCTGAAGGTCTAAGCTCCATAACTCAACTTATCTTGATCGGATTTTGAAGTGGCATACCTCTAAATGTTTCTGGCGCAATTCTCTATAAATCTGCATTCAAATCCAGAAACATATTTTTTTTACATTTTTTTTGTCATTTTTCTGATGTTATGATGTTGTAGAAACTCAAAAAAGTTAAGAAGTGTCCCAGGCTGAAGTTATAAACACCATAACTCAACTTATCTTAATCGGATTTTGAAGTGGCATACCGCTAAATATTTGTGGCGCAATTCTCTAAAAATATGCATTCAAATTTAGAAAATTTTGTTATTTTAATTTTGTAATTATACTCGTTACTCGTAGAGTAAAAGGGTATACTAGATTCATTTAAAAATATGTAATAGGCAGAAGAAAACGTTTTCGACCATATTAAGTAATATATATTCTTGATCAGGATCAATAGCCGAGTCCATCTGCCGTCTGTCTGTCCGTATGAAATCAGGAACTTCGATCGTCGTCGATCTCAGGAACTTCAAAATATTCCAGAAAATGTTACAATCTCTTGTTTGCACTTCCATTAGCTAAGTAACGGGTATCTGATAGTCGGGGATCTCGACATTTTATCTTGTTTTGTCTAAGAATGTGTCTGTGTACCTAGGTCTTCAAAGCCTAACTAAAAATTAAAATAAAACCGTTGTTCTCAACTTCATTTTGATTGCTAAGCTAACAGGTATTATTTAGATAGAATAACCAATATCACCATGTGCCAAAAAGAAGCTTATTTTGTTTGAATACAGAATGTTCGTTTATTGGGTATATTGTCTATTTCGCCTTACGGTTCTCATCGATCCAAGACAAAAACGAAGGCACTGATGTGTAGACAGAAGGCAAGGTAGTGGATGCACACGGTGTGTATCCCCAGGAGACGATGCCAATCTGCTCGACTTGACCAGTGCTGGATTTCAAGACCAGGGGGCCGCCACTGTCTCCGTTGCAGGATCCGTCGGCTTTTCCGGGGGTGTGGGAGCATACATTGGTTTCCGCCAGCGAATTGATGGATGGCAACGCCGCCTTGCATTCTTTGTAGCCAATGACAGTGGCGTCCAGTTTCTGAAGGTTCATCGGCAGCAATCCTGTGATGTCGTAGCCCCAACCGTACAGATATCCATCGCCAGTGCCTTGGAATAGCTTTGTAGGAAGACTTACGGCGGCCACCGGATTGCTGCCATCACGGGCTACGGCATTCAGGTCGAAGGCGTCCTCTTCGTTGAGCAGGATTAGGCCGATGTCGTTGGGTCCCACACCGCCACTGTATTTCTCATGGATCACATACTGCGCACTGGTGAACTTCCTAATCTGACCGTTCTTCTGGTCACTACGGTTGTTAATACCGCCAACTGCCTGACCCTGATTTTTGGTCAGGCAGTGTGCGGCGGTCAAAATGGTCACCTCGTCGATCAGGGTTCCTGCACAGAAGTGCGAGCCGGTAGTGGTCTGTAGGGACACAATATAGGGCGCCTCTCCCTTCTCCGCCTCATAGCCGTTGATGATGCGCCCGTCGGGGAATCCCGGCTGAGGCACAGAAAAAGCCGAAACCGAAGCCACAGCCAGAGCCAGAGCGAATATCACCGCGAATTGTGTCATTTTTAGTTCTATGTTGAGTTTGTTCTACTGCCAATTAGCACAGCGCCTTATATAGGACTCTTCAATCTGCAATTCGAACTGCAAGACCGGTTATCTATCGTTATCACCGAAGATTTATGATCTTCACCGATCTTTACGATCTTCATATATTTGACCCCGATATCGATTTGCTTTGTCCTGTACTGACGTTTTTGACTGATAAGAGTTTCAATCTCTCATCGCCTTCGTGCACTTAAGGCACAGATGAAGTTTCCATGCAGCCAACATGTGTGGCTTTTGGCCCCGATCTAGATGGCAACATTCTATTTGTTCACATAGACGCCACTTTGAGTGTATTCTTTGTATTGGTCGTAAAACAATACTAAAACATTTGAGTATATAGTTTAAATGACAGCGCAAAGAATTAGTAATCCCTGATTATAATAATTTAGAGCGCAGTTAAAATACGAAATCGTATATGTATACATTATTATGTTGTCTGTCAAAAACCGTAAATGTATATACGTTTTTATTTAGGTATTATTTTGTACTAATCAGATCTATTATTATTTGTAGAACAAATCATTTGTCAGAACAAATAAACTTCTGAAGTTGTAAATCTTAATGCGTCATCCTCGAGTTCTTTGTTGCTTAAAACATTATTTTAGCAACATGTTGATTATAAAAATTAGAGCTTTTCCAATCTACTTGGGCAATATTATACAGCACTTTTTTAAAATCAGCAATAAGAAGCTTCCCTTCGGGTTAGATTTGATTGGTCAAGTGCATGACTTTCCATACTGAATCGTCTATTAATGGCACACGCCTCCAAAAGTCTGGGCTTTTCCAGAGCTTATATTAGAAGCCATAAATTAAGAGACAAATGTGTCCGGGACCGTCTTTAATCCATTTTCGATTACCGATCGATTCCAGGGTAATCAGACACCATAAATTGTAGAAAAGCAAACGGGGACTGGACTTTTATTGCTTATAATTATCGGAGGGGCATTCTGTATGTATTAGTTTCTGGTATGAGCGTTTTGGCTTTTCCAGTTTAGTTAAGGAAGTACGCCAATAAGTGCAAATAAATTGCACATCCATTTAAACTAATATAAACTTTTTCCTAATGGCTTATAACATTCCGTGTTACAATATCCGTGCTAATATCAAAGTTATAGCTAGGCCGTAAAGAGCCTTTTATTCAGTGCTTCGTAGTTAAGCTTTTATGCTTGAAAACGAACTCATACTTAAGGTAGTTTACTAGTTCTGTATTTTAAAAAGAAAAGAACCCGAAATAAACTTCCATCCCCGGGAAACCACAAGATAAGATTTAGTTGGATGCATTTATTCAACAATAGATCATGACTCTGATCAAAAGCGATAGCGATCCTGGCAAGATCTGACTAATAGTTCCATCCTTCAATTTAGAAGAGCTTGTAGTAGGCGCTCTGAATATCGGCGATCCAGTCGATGTAGGCCGACACCTTGGTGTAAATGGAAGGCAGGTTCGCCACTCCGCAGGGGATGTAGCCCCAGGATACGATGCCAATCAGCTCGGAGGGGGCGTTCTCGGACTCAACGACCAGTGGGCCGCCGGAGTCACCGTTGCATGCGGACTTGCTCTGATCCAGGGAAGCGGAGCAGATGTTGGACTCAGCGATAGGAGCGCTCTCTGGTAGCTCCTCCTTGCACTCCTCGTAGTTCACAATTTCGGTGGTCAAAGTCTGCAGGGTCTTGGCGCCCGAGAAGATGTAGTACTTGGGCTGGCCCCAACCGTAAAGGTGGGTCTCTCCCTCATGGACCTGGTCACGGCTGGGCAAGGTGGCGGCCTGCACCCACTCGTTGAAGATGAATGACTCGTTCACGTGGAGCAGGGCAATGTCGTAGGGTCCAACGCCACCGGTGTACTTCTCGTGCACGCGGCCAAAGTCAACTTTGCGCTGCTGGGTCAGCTCATCCACATCGGCACGGGTGTGGAGTCCGGCAATGATGCTCATGCCTACCGGGTTCGAAATGCAATGGGCGGCAGTCACAATCCAGTCCTTGTTAATCAAGGTGCCTCCGCAAATGTGCGAGTGCTTTTCGAAGTTGGTGGCGAGGGAAACAATGTAAGGGGCGGAGTGGGGTTCCGCCTCCGTGCCGTTGATCACGAAGCCGGTGGCAAAACTAGGCACGATATTGGCCAGCTTGTCGGAGAGCTTGCCTCCCTGGGCGGCGGCCACAAGGGCAACAAACAAAGTCACAGCGATCAGTTTCATTCTGCAGATTTACGAAGAATGTGTACTGACTACCTGACAAGTGGCACCTTTTATACTTGCCCACCACTAAAGATTAGCAGATAGATTTATGAATTGTATTTGACGATTAGTTAATTTCGTCTGTATTGATTACGATAGGTGCACGGTTATTTAATAGTAACTTGTCCTTGAGTGGGAAAAGCCCTGGAAATCTCCGCCCACGTGTGTGTACGTAATGTGTTAACCGAGGTGTTGACACGGCAAGGTCGGCCACGGCCCAGTCCCAAAGGATGCTATAAATACTGGCCCCTCGCGATGGGGCTCTCCCAGCTGGCGTACAAAGCCAATTAAGAGAGGATTTCATACCCCTGAAGTGACCGCATGTTTGCGTAAACATTTTCAGGACAACATCCACACCACGGGACGTGTGCCCCTAATGCCACATGGAGGCAGCTTGTCCCGGCCAGTCGGCAATTAGTGCATGCAAGGATGCACTCCGCTATCTTCATTGTGTTTCCCTCACGCGCTGCAAAGGTTAATTGCAAAATTGAAATGCCACAGCACCCGGAGGGTAAAATAGGATATGGCGCCTAAAGTGGAGCTCAACCTAAACTACATGTTACATGTTACGTGTTAAGCAATGTAAGGACATTAAAATACAATGCAAATGTTGGGATTTCTATCCCACTCCAGGTTATTCTTTAGCGCCCCATTAAAGAGTAGCCCCATCAAAGAGATTAAAGATCTCTTATTTCGGGTATCAACGGTTAGTCCAATATTCGTATAATCGAACTAGTTCTTTGAGCTACTGGAGCACCCTGGCGGCTTCCTCGCATTCTCTCTGTTTGGCAAAGCTTTTTAGTCTGCTACTATAAAAGGCCAGTTGCTTTTCGGCGTCCGGTTTAGACGATTCGAATTCTCAACCGTATCAGTGATGTTGTCGCCGCTTTTCCTGCTGCCCCTCTTGGCTTTTGCCGGAGCGGCTAAACTTCCGCACATTCAACACATGACATTGAGGGCTACGGAACAAGTTCACGCAGAGATCCAGCCCCTGATTATAGACGGCTACGATGTGCAGGGGGTGGACAATGTGCCCTACCTGGTGTCCCTGTCCTTGACAAGGGCCACCTACACCCACTTGTGCGGAGCATCCATAATTGGCAAACGATGGCTTCTGACGGCTGCTCATTGTGTCGATGAGCTGCGCGCCTTCAACGGAGATGCCGTGGGAACGCCCGTTTACGCGGGAATCATCAACCGGTCCAACGTGACGGCCGCCCAAGTGCGCTACGTCGACTTTGCCACCACGCATCGGTCTTTCAATGGAAACGCCGGAAGTGACAATATCGCCCTGCTGCACGTCTCCGAGAGCTTCGAGTACAACGCTCGAGTACAACAGATCGCCCTGCCCGACATCAAGGATGATTACAGCAATAAGACAGCCGCAGCTTATGGCTGGGGACTCACCGACGCCGATGGCGATGAGTACTCCAAGGAGTTGCAGTATGCCTTTGCTCCCCTACTCAATAGCGCGGATTGCAAGGAGCTTCTGCCGGCAGATGCGCCTCTGACGGCGGAACAGGTGTGCTCCCAGGTTAAGACATGCTATGGAGACGGAGGCACACCCCTGGTCTACTGGCCCATCACTGGACCAGCGGAACTGGTCGGCCTCGGATCCTGGAGCTATATGCCGTGCGGATATGCCAACCGGCCCACGGTGTACACCTCTGTACCCCCTTACATTGGATGGATCCACCAAACGATCGCCGCCTATTACCAGCTGAACTGAGACTTGTGGCGTTAAAGGGGAATCTTTGCGTAATACTCTAGCCCTGCATTAAAGTAAACACCGCCATTGTGCGTATCTTATCACAGAACTTGTTAACGTGAATAGAAAACCTTGTTTTATTGATCGATAAGTGGATGGCTGATTGCCTGAAATTGAACTACTATTTACGATTGCCGATCAGCTAGCGATTTATGATAGCGTCTCTGTATTATATATGCTGACTAAGCGGTAAGTGCTAAGTGCACTTTCTAATCAGGTGGGTGACTCGGATCTACGGAGAGTCTCACTGCGAATTTGGTGACAGACCCCGACGAGGTCAAACGGCTCGTCGATAGTCGGCTAGGATAAACGTCAACAGCAGGGGCAGCTCTGTAGTCCAAGGAAAACTTTCGCTGGGGTAACTCGAGTGGGCTGAATAGGGAATGAAGTGAGGTGAGAAAATGCATGTAAACAGGAACTAAGCAGCTACATATTTTATAATATACGAGTAATTTGCATGTAGCACGGCCAGCAGCTGTTTAAACGCATTTCTATAGTTTGGAGTGTACTCTCCAAGGCAGATGAGCTGACTGTTGGGCGGTCCTCGGCAGCATTAGCATATTCCCAACCTGCCATTCGTCCTCCGAAAGCTCCCTAATGCACTGGAGCACTCCACCTTTCGCTTTGGACGCTGACAGCCCTTTTGCAACTCAATTCCCTAAGCAAGATTGACAGCGAATCGAGAAAAGCGTATGACAATTGTCGCCAACAAATGTGTTTCATAGATACAGATGTGCATGTATTTTTAAAAGGGAACGCGCACTCAACAAAGCCAGCACTTGAGCAAAGTAAGTTGGAGACGGAGACTTGCTTAAGTGTTTAAATAGTCTTGAAAGTGGCTGCTGGCATAGGTACGACATTTTTCGCAGTGCAGGCAGCTGAGGCTCTGTTGGCTGGCTGGCGACATCCCCTTTTGCTGTTCTCGGTGTGCGGTCTGCTTTAAGCGCTTTCTCCAGTCGACTGACATATGTACGGGGAGCAGATCCAACAGTTAAGCCAATTCAATTATGCATGTAATCGTTCTTATCCTAAAGGCACACCCCACACCCCACATCCCACACCCACACCCACATACAAGCATATACACTGATGTAGATGCTGATTCAGATATACAATTACTGATACGCGTGCCAGCGGTGGCTGTTAATATTTGAGGAGCGTGTCAAAAGGCAGTCACTTTCAACATTGCTTTTCAGGAGCAGTCACGAAGTAGACACTGAAATTCGCACACAATTTCTGCAGTTATTGGATTTCCACTGAATTCTGCATATTGAAATGGAATTAACGAAGTTTTTACCGCCCCTTCGCGCGAGCTCAACTCAATTAGTTTACAGTAATTAGACAAACAGGAAAAGCAACCAAGACAACTCGAGTGGGGATTGTGGGCTCCAATTAGCGATGGTCGAACCCTTGTACTCGTCCGGACTTTCCTAAACAACCAACAGACCAGCCCCTCTGAAAATCCCTTGAAAATATGCGCCTAATTGAATATCAGAAGTGGTGGGGGCGAATCCGAGTCGATGTTTTCAATTTCAATTATTGAGGAACCTCTGGGTCTCGTCTGTGAAATGCGAAAAGGGGAAAGTGTTTGCCAGGCAGGCCACTTTGGCACCTAGTGGGTTCATTAAACTCAAACCCAAAATTCTAGCCCAAAACGCGAAAGGATAATGAACTTGTGGCTGCGCGAATTAAATATGCTCGTAACGAGTATTTGAAAGCTCATCAATTTTGGCCGTAACAACAAGCGTTCCCTAATCTTAATGGACCGATGACGGGGTCAAGGAATTTCACCCCCTAATTGGAACTAGACTCTGGAGTCGAGCAATTTTATGAGCGGACAGATAGGTGCCTGGGGTTCAGAAGCCCCAACTAAGTGCTTAAATATGTATTCAATTTCAAACTCCAGGAAACTAGCAAACACAGTTTAATCTGTTGTTTTAATACCTGTAGCTCGAGGAGTAAAAAGGGCGTAATAGATTCGTTGAAAAGCAAGTAAAGTGAATTTAGGAAAAAAGTGAAAAATGAAAACGTCAAAAGCAGGAAGATCACTCAGCTTTCCTTTTTCACGTATTTAAATATTTTTATTTCACTTGTAATTCGTTGCTTGCGATGCATTCAATACGTAAACAAGAGTCAATAAATATTTAAGTGAAATTGCCCCTGAAAATAACAAAGCCTGCACCCCAAGGTGGATCCACTTTGTTGCCACATTCCCTGAAGCAAAGCTAGCGTGACCGTCGTACTTTGTCCCACTTAGTTGCACACATATTCATGGCGTCTCTGGCTTCAATGCCCAGATGGTGCTCCACTACCCCCATCGCCACCCAGCGGGAAAGTCCTCCATCCGACTCGGAGGGGAAATGAAGCCGAATTTTCGGGACATCTTGTTGGCTGGATACCAGATTTGGCTGCCACTTATTTGCATGCATATTTAAGAAATACGAAATGTTTTAATTTCGGCGGGGGTTACTCGGAATCCGCATCTGTTTGGCATCGCCAGCTGCGGACGGAGAATTTTCACTTTTCGCCAGCTTTTTCTTTATGAATAGACGGCCGTGGTATTAAATATTTATGGCTGCGGGCAGATGGCCATTTAATTTGACTTAAATAATAAGCAGCAATAACAGACGACTGCACTCATGCGGCAGTTCGGCTAAGAAATTGGACGAGATAAATTCATTAGGGGCAGTTCAATAAACTCTGGAATTACGACTGTATGTATCATGTGTTAACAATTTATTGGACCCGAATCGCAAGAGTATGTGCTTTGATTATCTCATGTGCTATTAATAACGACTAGAGTTCGTCTTCATTTCAGCCTGCTTCATTTTTGGTTCTCACTAACGCGCTGTGTACTCTCTGATTTCAGGACTCGGGCACTGGAACGCCGGTTACAATGCGCGTGGATGCCAAGGGCTTCTTTCTCTACTGGGTCGACCAAAACAACGAGCTGGATATCCTTGATATAGCCACCATTCGCGACGTTCGCACAGGACAGTACGCCAAGCGGCCAAAGGTGCGTATACTTTTATGGGAACTCCGGGGCGTATACTTGATTTTTACCCACTTTTCGCTTCCTCGTTCTCTGCTACTTGGGGTTTGGCCATAGAACCAATGCATTCTTCGCTGAATTTCTGGTCGAATTCATTCGTCGTTGTCACAATGGGCTTTGCTTCGCAGGATTCACCTCCCTTCTTCCTTGCGCAGCAGCATTTACCACAGCAGCGGCATCCTTCTGAAATGCAATTTAAAAAAATAAATATTTTTCTGGTTAAGCACGCGAATTGAGTAAAGAAGGCGTTGAAGAGCTCCCCCGGCTTTTATGTGGTGTGTTTGTTGCCGTTGTATGATCATATGAAGATTGCTTTAATAGCGCCAGCGCATGTAATTACTTTTTCCTCATCTCGCGATGTACACAAAAGACACTCAAAAAAATGTACCCCCTATCTTTATACGCTAAAATAGTTGCATTTTGTTTAAAGACTCATTTAATTTTTCCACTGCTACCTGGCCCCATTGGAAAGCCAATTACTGGGTCAGGTATGTGAAGCTATTTCAAGCGATGGCACCAATTCCCCGCTTAGATTTTCTAGCCAAGTCACGTGCTCCGGGCCCGGAATCGGAATAGAAATCAGTATCCCCATTGTGATGTGTGCGTTTCGCAAGAGTTTTCCAAGGTAGTTCCGACTTCACGATTGTCACGCTTTTCCAGGCTTAACACGATTTTCCATTTATTGTTGTGTGGACGCGCCGCATTGTAAAAAACTTTTTCCGAATACCCCTTTTTACATATATCTTGGCAATAAGCAGGCAAGATGCTTTTCTGTAAATGGCCAGCATTCTATGTAAGCTGCTTGGCCCTGAATAAGCATCTTAAACTTTCGCTAACCCATTTGAACAATTCGCGACTCATTATGAAATTAAAGTCCCACAAACGCTGCGCCTCTTTTTCTGGATCCCAACCCTTAGGGCAATTATATCAATGGGGAAATCCTTGGGCGTCACTGCCGCTTTTTCTCCATGTATAAATCATGTTGGTATTCCTAGGGCCACGCCTTCCGCCCACACCCCACCGCCCACCGCCCGCGGCCCCGATAATAGTTGCAGTTGTTGCTGTGGAGCGCGGCAGGCCCAAGGCCACAGGCAAATGAGTTTGGTTTTCCTTTCAGTTTGCCCGAGGCAAACTAACAGCGCCGGAAAAGTTGGGAAATGAAAGCAAGCGCTCCTTGCGGGACAGGCGGAATTCGGACAATGAATGTTGACAACAGTTTACAAACCTAACCGCTACGTACAGGGAAAATGAAAACAGGCCAGCTCTGTAGATGAAACTATCTGGCCTAGCAGCACTTATTGCCGATATTAGGAGAGATGAGTTTATCACATGGTAGCGTAGCAAGTCAGACCTAAATATTTAGAGCAAAAAATGTTGTTGCCAACGAAACTGCTTTACCAGAATTAATGAGAAAAGCTGCCTTCCTCGAAAGGGAAAACCCTTTGGCAAGGGGCAAGGAATCATTCATTAATTAAGCGCACGAGTTGGTGGGCGCTGACCACGCCCACACACACACTCGCAGGCCCATGTGAGATTAACTGAAAGCCAGGAAAAGCATAGCATACATTTAAGAGCAGGAGACCCGCGCTCGCTGTGTGCGTTAATGAATTGAGTACAAGTCCAGAGCTCGGCTAGGAAATCTAGTTTATTTAAAGGACGCAATGAAGATCGCTTTAAATCAGCACAATACATTAATACCACTAAAACTCAAGCACAAGTTACAATTGCGGACTCGGACTCGTTAAACATCACCAAACACAGTCGAGGCCGGGTCATTTGCAAGGACTATCACTTCCTGTCAGGCTAATGCAAAGCCGTGTTAATAGTGAATTCAGATCGTTGGAGATTTTGACATCGCCTTGGCGATTTCTTCTCTGCAGGATCTGCTGTAAGCTTCGAACGGCCTGGACTCTGGCGAAATGAGTCTGCATGCGGGGATTGCTGCAGAACTGGTTGCTGCACTGGATTGCATCACACTTGTGGTGCGGGCTCGGGTATATGCGCTCCTTGCACTCCATGTATTGGCGATGACGCATTTGGCGGAGGTAATCGCGCACCTGGCGCTCTCGATCCCGCCGGCGCATCTCCTTGATCAGCGGAGTGTCCTCTTCTTTGGGCGGGCAGCAGATCTCGCAAGGGCAGCCATCGGTCTGGTTGTCCTTATTTTTGCCCTTATCATTACCCTTGTCCCCCGTCTTCTTTTTCCTCTTGCCTCTCTTCTTTTTCATGCCCTTGTCCTTACCTTTGCCCTGGTCCATCTCCTTGTCTCTCTGCTGCTTTTGATCTATGTTACTGCTCGTCCTGTTGGACTGGTTCTTGTTTTTGTCCAAATCTTTTTCGCTATTGGTCGTGCCCCCAGTGCCACCGAAATTGCCAACACCAGTGTGGCTTCCTTCAGTCGCTGGATTGGTATCTGTACTATGGGGCACTAGGGGGTCCTCAGAGGATCTAATTTTCGGCTCTTTGGCTTTCTTTTCTTTGCTTTTCTCCTTGTTTTTGTCTTTGTCTTTGTCTTTGTCTTTCTCTTTGTCTTTTTCTTTTTCAATGGCTTCTTTTGGTTTTTCCTTACTCTTTTCGCCTCCATCTTTTTCAGATCTCTTGTTGCCTTCTCCATCACCCTTTTCGCGCTTGCCCTGTTCGTTCTGGCCTCCTTTTCCTTTCCCGCTTTCGTTTCCATCGCCATCACCACCATCACCGTCTCCGAAGCCTTCATTGTCATTGTCGCCATCACCATGACCAGCACCCTTTTTCCCTTTATCCCTTTGCTGGTTTTTGTCATTGTCCTCGTCTTTGTCAATTTTCTCGTCTTTGTCAACGTCCATGTCCTTATCCCTACCCTTGTCCTTATTAACTGCCGACTCACCATCTCCTCCGGCGCCATCTGGTACGAACTCGCCGCATCCCTGGGTAGGTGGATCTTTGGGATCCCTGCAGCACTTCTCCAGCGCTTGGCAGAGATCATTCTTTCCATTCGGGTCTTGAACGAAGCAAGTTACCAGCGATTTGTACAGTTCGTCGTAGTTGCGGGGCTCCGGCTGCTTGTAGCCCTTCTGGTTGGCCATCACGCGCTGGAAGGCTTCGTTGTCGGGCCGGGGATTCATCTTGTACTTGGCCCACTCGTAGTCGGTGCACTTGTTCTCCACCTCGCCGCATTTGGTGGGGCAGTACCAGTGCTTACGTCTGAGGCCATGCTTGGAGGGCCTTTCCGGTTTCACCATGTCCAGCGCCTGTTCTCTGCTGATCGCGGGATAGCCGGCGCTATCCTCAAACGGATGACTAGCATCCGCTGGCTGAGGACAGTGAAGCCAGAGGAATACGTTGTTTGACTTCAGTTGGCGTTTTACGTTGGGCATCCTGTCGAGCTTTGCCTTCAGACATTTTCGATTTAGGACAAAAGTGCCAGGTTGGGGGGGCTTCTTCTCAAGTTGCCATTTTGGCCTTATGTTCGACTTCTTCGGCGGTTTTGGCAGCAGACTAGCCGCCTGTAGGCTTTTCTTCAAAGCGCGGTCATAGAAAGCGGCCTGTGGAGTCGAGTACCGCGATCTAACGCCATACCACCCCAAGGAGTCCTTCTGGGGACTGTGGTTCCACACGGCCAGCACATCTTCCCTGACATAGTCCTTGCATTTGTTGGCCTCCATGGCGCTTTCAACGTACTTCAGAGTCTTGGCATCGTCGCATCTGGATATTGGGGGCAGGATTGAGGGGTATGTTTCCTGTAGGTGCGGCTTATGGGTCTTGCAGTTGGTCCAGCGCATCCACTGGTACATGGTTAGTGGTTTCTCGACATAGGTGTTCAGCGGGTCGGGTTCCTGGCACACAGGGAGCTCTGAAACGCTCTGACCTGCCACGGACCTCCTAGATCCTCGGTGCTTCGCTGCCCACGTGCTCATCATTGCGGAAAAGTCGCCTTCTTTGTTTTGAGTGTGTGTTCGATTCGGGTCCAATATTGTTCAAAGGTTAAATACGGTTAAGCTCAATCTGGGAACCAAAATAAAACAGGCTTATTTTAAAATTTAGGTGTTGTCTGTTGAACACATGATTAAATACTGAGAGTGGCTTACTTAAAATGTCAGCAGTTCCCTTTGAAAGGCCTTTCAGAGCCGCCTGAGGAACTCAAGTTTCTAATAACGAAACAAGGTTTATGCCTCAGTTTGAATATTTATTACTCAATTGTCAAATTTTGAAAAATACACTGACAAGCCAATTGTACTGACCAAAACAAAGTTGCTAAAGTCTTAGATGCACTTGCACATACGCTTAGTAATTCGCTGGCGGAGATCGTCGAGGTTGAATATGAGCTCGTTGTTTACGATCCTATGGCGTTCCTTTCCAAGGAGCCGCTGCAAGTGTTGAAGGGCTCCCAAGCACTCACAGTACTCGGATATCTTGGGATCCCGGCAGAAGCAGTTGTCGCAGCTGATGGGATCTACCTTGTGCTGGGTGGCTAGGAGCTTTTCACCCGAGCACTCCATGTACTCCCGGTGACGCATCAACCGGAGGTATGCCCTCTTCTCGCGAAGCTTTTCCTCGAAAATAATCGATTGCATCGTCGTGGAAATGGGAATCTTCGTGCCATAGAGGCAGTCGCAAATGGTGCACGCGCAACCCACTGGAGGACAAGGTGGACAGGACTCTTTGGCTTCGTTCTCAGCGATCTTCTGCTTCTCGTCTGGTTTCTGTGTAGGTTGGTGGAATGGTGATTTCTTCTTCTTGTTCTTTTTGGGCGGCTTCGTAGTTGGATCTTCTGTCGGCTTGTCTTCCGCTACTTCTTTGGCTGGAGCATTTTCCCCCGCCTTGCCAATATCTTCCTCGGTCGGTATTCTGTCTGAGTCTCTGGATTCAAAAGAGGATATATTGCGAGTGGACGTATTGGTTGTGCTTTCGACCGACTTCGGTTGCTTGGGAGATTTGAGTTTCGTTTTTTCCTGATCAGGATCAGCTATATTGGGCTTCTTATTTTTCGGATCAGCATCTTCGTTTTTATCCTTCTCCGTGCCCTTGCCTTTATCCTTAGCTTTACCTTTGCCTTTCTCCGCGTCTGAGTCCTTGCCTTTGTCTGGGTCCACATCCTTGTCTTTATCCTTCCCTTTATCCTTGCCCTTGTCCTTGCCCTTTTCTTTTTCTTTGTCCTCCTTTTGTATGTTGCCGTCCGTGTCCTTACCCTTATCCTTTTCCTTATTCTTCTCTTTATCTTTACCCGTGCCCTTACTTTTATCAGCTTCCTTATCCTTTTCTGTATCTTCCCTATTGCCACCTGCCTTTTCCTTTCCCTTGTCCTTGGCTGGCTGAGATGCACCATCAGGATCGTGACCAGCACCCGGCTGGCCATTACCCCCATTACCCCCTTCCTCCACATGTGCGCCGCCTCCACTGCCACTGCCGGCTCCCCCTTCTCCGACCCCGACTCCGCCTCCGACTCCACATTCATCTTTCATTTCCCTCATCATATCCGGACAACACTTCGCCATGGCAACGCAGTCGGGATCTGGTTGAGGCTTTACCTCGAAGCAGGCTTGGAACCGCTTGTACAGCTCATCGTAGTTGTGCGGCTCTCGCTCCAGTTGCACTTTCTGGTCCAGGAACCACTTCAAGAAGGCTGTGTCATAGGGTCGCGGGTTCAGTTTGTACCGGGCCCACTCAAAGACAGTGCACTTGTTTTCCGGCTCACCACACTTTGGAGGGCAGTACCAGTGCTTACGTCGCAGGCCGTGCTTTGGAGGTACCTCCGGTTTGGCCATATCCAGAGCCTCTCTGAGGCTAATCATATTATTAGTCGCCGCCTCCACTCCCAAAGGGTCCATCGGATCTTGACGCTTGTCGCAGAATAGCATATTGAAAGCCTCCTTGGGGTTAAGTTTCTGACGGGCAATGGGCATGCGCTGCAGCTCCTCCTTAAGTGTCTTCCGGTTGAGGATGTACGGCTGACACAGGGCAGCGGGCTGTGGCGGCCTTGTTGGCACTGCTGGAGCCGGTGGCTTTGGACCATGTCTTCTGGAGCCGTTTGCATGCCTTAGACTGCTCGTCAAAGTCCTGTTGAATCTAACAGCCTCTGGTAAGTGTAGTCCACCCGCCACACCATAGAACTTGAGAGTGCTCTTGTGGGGGCTCATTTGCCAGATCCTGAGAGCATCCTGACCCTTGGTACTGGGATCCAAACAGCCTGCCTGATCGACTGACTCCAACAGATAGCTTGTGCTCTGGTCGTTACTGCATTTGGAAACTGGAGGCCGAATGCTGGGATACCGCTCCCCCTTCATGACTTTTTCCGCCTTGCAATTCCTTTGTCGCATTATCTCGTAGGGTGTGGGGATATCACAGAAACCTCCATTACCAGAGGTTCGTATAGTTTGCTGGTTCAGCGATCCATGGTGGGAGTCAAGCGATCGCTTGTTGTTCATGCTTTTACAATTCGCGACAGAGGAATTAGCTGGATTGGCTGATATTCGAATGTAGAGCTTTGACCTGTTTTGGTATCCTTAGTAAAAAATTTTGTAAAGCTAAAAACAGGAATTCTGTCTGCCCTATCTGGTTCCTACAACTATCTGATCAGTGCCCTCGAAATTAGCCCAAATCAGCTGACAGATGGTGCGTAGAGTACTGGCAAAGTAAGTTGTTCTTCATAAGTAAGTACTTCCAGCGGATGCATAAAATAGGTAGTTTCTTTTTATGGGGTGGAAGAAAATGATTTCAAAATTTGCAAATAAATGGATGCCCTTCGTGGTTTTCTAAGAAGTGGCTTTTATTTTATTAGCACCTTGGAAATCAATAGCTGTGTTTGCAGCTGGCTAAAATTATGGCGAACATCCTGCGGCCCCGCCCCTGCTCTTGCTCATAATGAGCTTTCTTAAAATTCAAATTTCCAGAGCCAAAAGGATTAGCAGCCAAGGGAGTCGCCGGATTGGGAGCCACTGGGTGGGCGGAGAACTGCGCGTGAGTGCTGAGCGCGAAGCGTGAGAAGCAATTAAGATAATCGCCGTAGTCATTTCCGCTTTACGCTTCGCACGGTGCCGGGCCAAAACGCGGACGGAGACCCGTAGAAAGACGCTGAGGAGCCGGCGACGGGAGCCGCCGTTCGCGAAAGCCATTTACATTATTCAGAGCGACAAATTTGGCGGAATTAGTTTTTAGCTGAAAGCAAATCATGACGCTGGCAGATAAGCGTAACCTGCAGCCAAGCTGGGGATTCCCCGTCCGCCCTCCAGCGTAGGTAAATTTGCGTTTATCGCCGCCAAACGATGCCTCATAGCCTCCGGCTCTTGCTGACTTGTACGGGAAGACGCTTTCCGGGAGGAAAGCCTTTCAACTCGTCGACGTAGCTCACCTAATCAGGGGTGCCACCATCCACCATGAGGAGTCTGCGATATGGCTGACCGGTAAAGCTTATCAAGGCATCTATTTGCATGCATAAATGTATAGCATTGAATTTCGGATGGCTTACTTTCAATGAATTGGACGCTGAAGCTCTAGAATAATTGGATTACTTGAATGAAGTAATACACATTTTGGAACACGCTCCAGCTAAGAATTTCAACATGCTGCATCATTTAATAATGTCCTGTACGACAGACCAATAAAATCATTGAAGTTATCTGCCAGAATCAGCACACCAGATAGCACGACTGGACGGCTGACACTGGCTGCTGATAAGGTCCTAGCGCCGGAAGCACTGCAGGAGGAGGGCCACAAATACCAGAGCCCCAAGACATGGCGGCCACAAAGTTAATGCCCAATCCATGCTCCGTCTTCCGCTCCAAGCACTTCCGCCCTGCCGCCCCAAAGTCCGTCCTCCGTATTGCAGTCAACTGACCGATGCCAATGTCCTGGGTCCTAAGTATGTGTCTTGCATTCGAAAGGACGTTGATAATCCTGCTCCGAGCCCCGCCCCACGGGAATAGTTTGGGAGCTGGACTGCTGCGTGGACGGAAAATACGTTTTTAAGTCCGGTACTTGTGGCATGAAAGTGTTAAAATGTAGAGGACAAGCTGGGAAAAGTGAGACGTTTTAGGAAGGGACACTATTCTTCGAGTTCTAGCTTAAATACTCAAGTTAATAACTTTAAGAGTTGCAAATCATTTATTCCACGTGTCCAAGATGGTTTTCTATCATTGCCGGAACGCCTAAGGACTAAATACTTTTAAAGTAAACAGAGTCAGTTCACATTTTAGCCGTTTTAAATTATTCGCAGCAACAAAATTACTTACTTGAATGGAAAGTCTACGAGGGCAATACTTTCCATTCTTAGTGCTTGTGTCGCGGGCTTATTTGCATTCGACCCAGTTGGCTTGGAAGACGAAATGTTTTGCTCCATTTGTGCCTTCCGTTCAGTTGTGGTGTCTTCTTGGCCGCGTTCCCCGTTCACGGATCCACGTTCTGCCGGGCTCGTAAATCCATTTGTGCCGTTTAATTGAAATATGGCACCACGGTCAGTTGAGCTTGGGAGTCGTCTTTGTGTGTCTGGTTTACGAGGCGAGCAAATGAATTTTGCTGCACTCGCAGGATTAGCGCGCCAGGATATGAATTCCATTTACGGCTGCCGGGTCATAAAACTTCATTTTCCGCGCACGCCCCCAGCCCCTGCCCGCAATACCGAAATCCCTTCGTCATTTGGTAATTAATAACGGTCATGCTCATCCTTCGATTGCAGGACAACAAGCTGCGCCAGATTGTGACGCTGGGTCCCCAGGACACGCTCGAGGAGAAGACGGTGACGGTGTGCCACGGCTCGGATTTCGTCAACATGACGTTCGTCAACTTCTGCTGCACCCGGCGGGACATAGCCCAGGTAAGTCCGCCATCCTCCGCACTTGGCCCTCGTCCAACTGCTCGCTGGGTGCCAGTGCACATGGCCACTTGCGCAGAGCACTTGTGACAACTTGGTGACAACTTAACAGTTGCGAAGGAGGTTCCCGCGCAGTTCTGAGTCATTCGGGGAATAGTGCCAAGAGTACACATCCAATGGTGGACAAAATGGTCTGCTTGGCACAACAAAATTGGAAACTAAGGAATGAATTAGGCAGAACTACTTCCCAAATCAATTCGCCTAATGGCTTTCGAAATTTTTCTCTTTCAATGAACGATCCCCTTTTTTCTGTTCGTGTACTTTTTGTTTGGGACACACCTATGGCCATTCGCTTTCTGGTTCCGGCTATTTTTAGTGGGTTGCCGAAGGCGCGTAAAAGTTATTATGGACCACTCAACAACGGCGCTTTTATTGATTTTCGTCCGAGGGCGTGTCCACCGTCCACCGTCCACCGTCCACCGTCCATTCCTCATGTCTGCCACTGGCCTGGATTGACCTTGCCCAAAATCAATGTTCTATTTTATCAATGGTCAGCAGCCCCGGTATCGTGCTGTTGTGGTTATTATTTTTGGCACGCGTCGCGGACATTCCTGAAATAAACAAACGCAACTCGAACCGCAGAAATGGCAACAAAGGCAAAGCAAATTATGAAAACGTCGAAATTTTCATAAACTTTGGAAAGGAATTTCGCAAAACCAAATAAACAATATTGCCCATAAACACACATGAATAAACTATAGCTGTGAACTGGAAGGGATCGAAAAAGACGCCCACTAGGCAAAAGTTTGCATTCTTTTCTGTCCGACTGACTGTACAATCAATCTGCGGCCTGCATCACACATCCGCCTCGTGTTGCCACCGAAATATCCGCAAATATCCCTGAAATACTTTCCACATGAGACAATCAGGCCTCGTTCACATGTTACAGACTGCTTGAGTCAGGGTAACCAGATGAATTGGATGTTTGGCTTTAGCTTTGAATTAAGCAGTAGTTGATAGATGTGATTGGCCTAAATGGAGGGACTAATCAAAGTACACGGCTGCAAATTAAAATGCTTTGAGACTCTTTCACTTTAAGCCAGCTGAATATTGATTGAATACACAAAACATTTGGGGATTGCCTATCCTTATTTGTTATTTGCACAATTTTCTAGCCACGTTTTTAAATCTATCCGTGCATACGCACTCTCTTTCCGGTCTTTCAGCTCTGGTCCGACGGACTCATCAAGTTGGCCTACAGCTTGGCCCAGCTCAATGGCTCGGCGATTATGTTCCTGCAGAAGGCCCATACCAAACTGTGTCTCCAGGTGGACAAGAGCGGCCGCATACCAGTGAAAAAGTAATTGACAACAGGCACCCACCAAAGTCTATACCAATCCCAATCCCACTCCCACTCCCAAGCCCTATACAAGCTATGCTCCCATACCTCAACGCTCGATGTCCTGAGTCCTGGATCCCGGCCAACTTTCGGGCTCGGGTTCGGGTTCCTGGCTTTTGTGCATTGTGCGTTGAAGCACTTGACAAATATTTGTTAGGAGTAGCCATCGACGTTGAGCTGAAAATTGAAATTTACGCCAATTTCTATTTCGCAATTTCCCTTTTTTATGCTCCCTGTCCTGCCGCTGCCGCCGCCTCCGCTTCTGGAACGTGGCTCATGCATCACTGGCGACCCACGATGATGATGACGACGACGACGACAACCTACCTCATCAACACCAACCGCACCGCATTGTCTGCCATCCAACCGTGCTGGTGCTGGCCACTCTGCTCCACTCCGCCGCTGGTCAAATTCTGGTCGTGACCACTTTAGCATCATAAAACTTTTCGCCCAAAACAAGGAGGATCGCAAACGTGTCGAGAAGGCGCTGGACGTGACCGGTTTGCCGTCGGGAAAGGTCGATAGCATACCGGTGTCCAAATTTCAATTCGAGGACTTTTACAATTTGTACAAATATCTCACGCAGCGCTCGGAGGTGGAGCGCCTCTTCGACAGCATGTAAGTGTACCTGAGAAGTAGAAATCATTTTTGGAGAAGGATTTATTTGCTGTTGCCAAAACACTACAAACTCCCATGCTCCTCGAAGTCAACCATTAACATGTTCTTCCCTGCTTTTCCTTAGCGTCGGCAACTCGAAGCGCAAGTGCATGTCCATCGCTCAACTGGTGGAGTTCCTGAACAAGACGCAGCGTGATCCCCGCCTCAACGAGATCCTCTACCCCTATGCGAATCCCGCCCGCGCCAAGGAGCTCATCCAGCAGTATGAGCCCAACAAGTTCAACGCGCAAAAGGGCCAACTCAGCCTGGATGGCTTTTTGAGGTGAGCTGACTTGTTGCTGCTGGAAACTGGGTGTGGAAGGAGGTGAGGTGCGCGTGACAGAGGCACTGCATCCACTCACAGGGCGAACCCTTCTGGGCGTGACAGCTTATCGGACGCAGTGCAAGCTGTTGGGGCTGTTGGCGTCACTCGAAGGTCCTCTTGAGTCCGAGTGCGAGTGCCAGTGCGAGTGCATGTGAATATGCATATGCACGTGAACATGAATATGACGTTGCGCTGCTTCCCACTCGGGCAAATTGAAAATGGTATGGCTGTCAGGAGAGTTTAGTCTACCCTGAGTGGCTTAGCAGCTGCGAAACTCGCATTGTGCAGCTACTGCCAGCAGCCAAAGATCTTGGGAGCTGTGGGCGACATCTTCCGCAGCTCAAACACTTCAGCG